TTCACATTATCTCTTTATAGACTTCTTAAATATATACAGCATATTACCATTAACTTTAAGATTTAATACTTTCAATGTCACCATTAAGCTTTTAGAAATTAATGTAAAAAAATTCCCCTTTCTGTATTTTTCTAGCTTATATGGTGGATAAATACCTCATAGATATCTTTGTATGAATAACTGCAGTAGAGACAGACAAGCTGCATAAGGGAAGTAATGAGACTGGTTTAGGGTAGCTGACATTCATCTTCATTCTCAAGACAGGGTAAACTAGTGACCAACCCCAAAGGGAAGGAATGTACCAGAACAAAATTCTCCACAAGGTGGCATCTTAGAGAACTGAGCAAGACAACTTAGTTCTAGACCGAAATCCCCAGTGGCATGTACTGCTATGCAGGGTCAAATTCTGCACTCACAGTGTGCCTCCTGCTTCATCATCTTTCTCAGAGAAGTAAATTCTTAAGCTAGACCTCTGCAAAGTTTTGGGGGGTGGGGGTGGAAAGAAGGGGCAAAGTACTTCTGGACTCCTTATTTACATCTCAGAAGTGAGTTTTGTAATCATCCACCACGGCCACTTCCTTTTTGGGCAATCAAGCCCACTTCCGCCATCAAAATAAACTCAAACCCTTTCATGTGTCGATTAAGGGAACAGTTTAGCTGGTCCTCTGTTTAGGTCTACACAAGCCTGTAGTAAGTTTTCTCTCTTTTTCAGTCCTCCAAGGAAGTGTTCCCATGTGCCTCATTGACCAAAGCTAGGTCACTTGTCTATATCTAAGAAATGGGGCCCGGATGGGCGTCGACCTAGGATCCAGGCGATCAGGGTTCGATTCCCGGTCAGGGCACATGCCTGGGTTGCAGGCTGCAGCCGATCAATGACTCTCTCATCATTGATGTTTCTATCTCTCTCTATTCCTCTCCCTTCCTCTCTCTGAAATCAATAAAGATATATATATTAAAAAAAAAAAGTTTATATCTAAGAAATGGGAAAAGCAATTATTTGGCTTCTTCCAACCCCTAGTGGGAGGAGGGTTAAGAAGTGTCAGAATAATAATAGATTGCAAACTAATAAAATCTGCGATAGCATTCACCTCTCCATTTCCAATCTCACAAATGCTTGTCATGGACTCTTCATATCCCAACTATCTTCCTTCCTCTACCCTTCTAAAAATAGCAAGCAGTTCAGAGATCCCTTTTCACTCCTCAGTGCAATTCATCTGAGATAACCTTTACTCAGACTTAAGCAGACAAAGAAGAAATGGACAAATGCTGAGATCAGGCCAGGAAACTTAAGGCCACAGCTCTAGATAAGCAGCATGACATTCCGAGCTTGAGCAATAGGTACCAGTGGCCTTTAGAGAAGACTGCCACAATGAGCTGGTCAGAAAATTCAGATCTGTGACAGAGCCCTAAAGCAGGTCTCATCCAGTGAAAATGCATTTTGCACATAGCTATTAAGTGTCAGGCTACAAGCTAGAAATACAAAGATGAGATTACTGTTCTCACGGCACTTGTGACATAGTTCTACCTTTATCTTTTGTTATTCCTCAACCAAGGATATTTTTTCCATTGATTTGGGGGGAGGGGGGAACGACACATCTTTTGGTTGCCTCTTCTCCTCTAAGCACCCTGCACCTGGACAGGAGTCTGGGATCGACCTGAAACCTGGCACATGCCCTTGACCAGGATCTGAACCCTTGACCCCTCAGTGCAAGGGCCAACAGCCTGCCACTGAGCCACACGGGCCAGGGCTCTCCACCTGAATCTTTTTTTTTTTTTAATAGATCTTTATTGATTTCAGAGAGGAAGGGAGAGGGAGAAACATCAACAATGAGTCACTGTCTGCCTGCCTCCTGCACATCCCCTACCAGGGACAGAGCCAGCAGCCTGAAATGTGTTCTGACTGGGAATTGAACCTTGATCTCCTGGATCATAGGTCAATGCTCAACCACTAAGCCATGCCAGCTGGGCTCTACTTGCCTCTTTAACAGCTGTTTTCACAGGAAAAGTTATACTGTAAATTAGAAGTTAACCGATTGCTATCATTGAACCAACAGATTGTTTCCAGTGTGTGCTATTACAATCAACAGTATTTCTTAAACTGATGTTTATTCACGTATTTGTGTAATTTCTTGAAGCAGAATTCTTCAAAGACTACATTTTTGAAATATGCCAAATTACCTTCTAAAAGGACTGTCAACTTACAAACACTAAGAATAACACAGAGCTCCTAAAACCCTTGAAATTTTCTGTGATTCAAGCGTCTCCTGCCACCAAACACACTAGATGGTTGGCACTTTCAACCTCCACCACTTGATCTTTGAGGAACATAGGGAACTGGGAATTGGTTTATAAAAACTCTGGAACAATGATCACAGAACTTCCAGGTTTGTGAAAACATCAAGGGCATGGAAGATGGCATGCTGAGAAAGCTTAGAAGCTCTTTGCCATTTCCCTCCTTCCCTTCACCTTGGCTTATGCATCTCTCCCAACTTGCCCATTTCTGAGTTGTAACCTTCGTAATAAACTGGTAAGTTGTATTTCCCAGAGTTATACTAGCAAATAACTAAACCATCATGGCAGGCAGCTGCTACTTGTCACTTTTCAAGATTTCTAGCAGCCAGCCACTGAGCCACTGTAATAGAGGTAGGTTGAATTAAACTGTAAGAACTTTTGCAGAATAAAGACAAACAAGAATTTGGGGGGAATAGCTAGCTGTATTTGGCTTTTCCCAGGACTATTACTTTGTAAATCCATAAAACAAACATGTAATACCTAAGTTTAATTAAGGCTACTTTTCCATATTCATATGATTTTCCAGTTTAAATCATGAGACAATTGAGCTAGATTTTTAAAAACTTAGAATTTCTCTGAATTTGTTGTTCTACTTATTTATGCATTCACTGGTTGAATTTTGTGTGTGCCTGACCAGGGATCACATTTGCAACCTTGGCATATCTGGATGATGCTCTAAAAAACTATGCCACCTAACCAGGCTAAAAAAACCACCCTAGGGTTTTTAAAACATGAAATAGATAATAGTAATCTGTGCTTATTGACAGCTTTATGTGTGATGTATCTTAAGGTATCTATGTCCTCCATATTTATACATTTATAACTTAAAATATCCCTGAAAATTTATTTGCAAATATGCATCAGAATACCTGTCCAAATATGTTATTCATGTAGAAGCCATACTTTTTTCTATTTTTACAACTTATAAATTCCCCAGTATAATCTTTTTAAAAAAAAAAAGTTTTTACTGATTTGAGAGAGTAAGGGCGAGAAAGAACCAGTAATAAGCTTTCCACATGCCCCCTAGTGGGTGGGGATCAAGCCAATGACCTAGGCATGTGCCCTGACTGGGAATGGAACCAGTGACCTCTTGGTGCATGGAACAATGCTCAACTACAGAAGCACACCAGGGAGCGCTTCAGTAAAATTCTTAAAACTTTCAATGCCCTGGTGTTTGTTACAGATATTCATATAGCAATCACATTTCAGCTACTGTAGGGAGGCTTGATTTTCCCTTGTCAGTGCAAAAATGTAAATGTCTTGAGAAATTAAAAATTTCCGGGGATCCTAGGGCTAAATCACAAAATGTAGAACAATGTTTGTATTGCCCAATTTTAGTGTTGTAACCCTGAGTCAGCTTAGCCAGAATTCTATCCTCAGTATCTGATTACTCTCAATGACAGTGAGATCATTACCCGTCCTAGTCCTGCCC